GGCACAGGGCCCGTCTCTGCTGTTCTCTGCTCTGCCATCCTGGCACAAGGCCCGTCTCTGCTGATCTCTTCTCTGCCACCCTGACTCGGGCCTGTCTCTGGGTGCCTGCCAGTCTCTGCTGGCCTCTTCTCTATCATCTCCCAATGCGCAGCCCCTGCTCTTGGAGTCTCTCTCTGTTTCTCTGTCCTTCGCCGCCCCCGTGCCGACGGTGCTTGGCTGCCTGGGCTTCACTCTGAAAAAGGGCCCTGGGCCCAGGCACTCCAGGACAGCTGGCAGCCGTGGGGCCTGGCTCCCCAGCGCTGACATGCTCTGCCTTGCTGAGAGTCTGCTGGGCTCTGGAGGCGCAGCCTCTGTGCCAAGAATCGCCTGCTCCCCGGGGGCTCCAGGGACATGCCAGCAGCGCTGTGGCAGGCTCAGGGAGAGCTGGACCTGGGGCACAGGATTACACGCACCATGGGGAGCCCCCAGTGAGCCTGGCCCACGGCATGGCAGGCATGGGGCCTTTGGGGCGGCCAAGGGTCTGTAACAGGGCCCGGCCCCTTGTTAAAGCTGGGCCTCCCACTGGCTGGCTGGAGCCATCCCTGGCCCTGCCTGTCCATTCCTGCGCTTCCTCTACCTGCCAGCAGCCGCTGCCCAGGCTGGCATGAGCTCAGGCAGCCAGGCCCTCCAGCAAGCCCTGCCCAGGGGGCTCTGCCAGCAGCCAGCAGGGAGGGCTCCCGTACAGGGCTGGGACTCTTCTCTACCCCATCGGCCTGTGTGCTCTGCCCTCAGCTGCACCCAGCTGCCTACACCTGTGGCTCAAGGAGCCCTGGCTCTTACGGTTCCTTCCTGGTGCCACCGGCCTTCTCAGGCACACAAGGAAGCGTGGCCACGTGGGCCCTTCCACCAGCTGCTCTGGTGCTTGGCCAGGCCCGGCTCCGGCTGGGTGGCGCTCTCCTCAGACAAGCCTGCCCGGCTTCCTACTGCCTCTGCTCCTTTCGTTCCCTGCCACTGGCCTGTTCTCTCCTGTCTCCGGGCTGGGGCAGAGCCTTCTCTGCATCTCCTGCCGTCAGGCCGGGCCTCCCTGCCTCTTTCTGCCCCGTACTGCCTGCTGTTCACACGCCCATTGGCCTGGCCTGGCCTTCGCGGGACGCGCTGGCCTCGCTCAGCTGCCTCTCTGCAGCCACGCCGGCTCTCTGGCCCTGCCCTCTCCAGGGGCAGGTGCTCTAGGTGTTGGCCTCGCCCCACCCTGGCTGATCCTTCTTTGTCTTTTCCTCCCTTTGCAGATGACGGCACCAAAACCTCCCGGATGACGACAGTGGAGTCGAGCTACACAAAGAGATCGGAGAGTAAGGGCCCTTCGCCCCCCTCCTGGCCTCTCTCCTGCCACCTGGTGGCAATTCCCCCTTCCTCTGGGGGCACCTGCTTGCCCGTTGGCACTGGGCGCTCAGCCCTGGGGCGGGGGGAGGGGCAGCCACTTGCGCATTGGTGCTGGGCCCTGGTGGAAGCAGGCTGCGGCACCTCTGGGCAGCGCCAGGCACAGGGAAAAGACAGCTACCAGTGCCTGAGGTTCTTCTCCTTGCCTCTGCAGATGGCAGCACGTTTGTCCAGACCAAATCCTCCTACAGCTCCTCGTCCAAGAAGGTGGGCAGGTGAGTGACACCCTGCTGCATGGGCAGTGCCCTCTGGGGAGTGGTGGAGAAAGGCATGGCAGCTCCGTGTGTGCCGCCCGAGCTCCTTGGGCCGCTTGTCCCCCCTGCTGGGGTCCATGGGTGGCACAGGCCTCTACTCACCGTATTTGGGTGTCCCCAAGGGTCAGCGACCTTGGCTACCCTCCACCCCCCCAGGGCAGCTGCTGTCGCCCAGCCTGCTACGTGTCCTTCCAGCAGCCCCCGCGGGGTGTCAGCCTTTGGGGTCTTGTGATGTCGCCACGTGGCTGAGTGCCGGGAGAACCCGGGGCCTGTCACTCGGGGATCTCTGAGCACTGTGCAGACCCCACTGATGTAAGGCTCCCACAACCCTGAGTGGTGTCGTCCCTGCCACACGAAGGCAGATTCTCCCCTGGCTTGGGGGGCCCCGTTGAGACCTTTGGGCCCCCAGCTGAGTCTGGGGAGCTGCAGCTGCCCCTTGGGTCCCCCCTGCACCCCCTCCCCGGGGTGCTGTTGGGACCTGGCTGAACAGAGACCCCCCTCCCATGCTGAGTCTGTCGCTCTCCCTCCCCCAGCATCTTTGACCGCGAGGACGAGAGCAGCTCGCGCCAGGGCAGTCTGGCCGCTCTGGAGCGGCGCCAGGCCGAGAAGAAGAAGGAGCTGCTGAAGGCTCAGATTCTGCCCAAGACGTCGGCCACGCAGGCGCGGAAGGCCATGATTGAGAAGCTGGAGAAGGAGAGCGGGAGGTGAGGGCGCCGGGTGCGGCCGGGGCAGGGTTGGGCTGGGTTGGGCCGGTGCTGTGGGCAGTTGACCAACATGCTCTGTGTGTGCTCCCTGCAGCCCTTCGAGCCCGGCCATGTCGCGGGTGGCCGTGCAGCGCTCCTCCAGCTTCGGCGTCCCCAACGCCAACAGCATCAAGCAGATGTTGCTGGACTGGTGCAGAGCGAAGACCCGGGGCTACGAGGTCAGTGCCCCCCTTCCGCTGCAGCTCCTGGCCAGGCTGGGCCCACTCCCTGCCCCCCATCCTCCGGGGCTAGGGTTGCCAGGTCTGGAACACGCAGTCGAAAAGGGACCCTGAAGACTCCAGTCAGCACCGCTGCCCAGGCTGTTAAAAATCTGGTTGGCGGTGGCGCCGGTGCAGCGGAGCTGCCTGGCTCCCGGAAGCGGCCGGCATGTCCTGCCTGCTCCTGGGCGAAGGGGCAGCCAGGGGGGCTCTGTGCGCTGCCCCTGCCTGCGGGTGCCGACTCTGCAGCTCCCATTGGCTGGGAACCGTGGCCAATGGGAGCTGCGGGGGCTCCGAGCCACCTGGCCCCTCTGCCTAGGAGCAGGAGGGATGTGCCGGCTGCTGCCCAGAGCCCACATCTGGAACCCCCTCCTGGACCCCCACCACCTCCCAGCCCAGAGCCCCCTCCTGCACCCCAAACCCTGTCATCCCTGGCCCCACCCCAGAGCCCGCACCCCCTCCCGCAGCCCTCACCCCAACCACCTGCCTCAGCCCAGAGCCCCCTCCTGCACCCTGAACCCCACAGCCCTTCCCACACCCCAACCCCTTCCCCGGTGAAAATGAGTGGGTGAGAGCGAGTGACGATGGAGGGAGGGTGGATGGAGTGAGTGGGGGCAGGGCCTTGGGGAAGGGGTGGGGCAAGGGTGTTCAGTTTTCTGCAATTAGAAAGTTGGCACCCCTATGGAGGCTCCTAGCAGCAGGTCCTACTCGCCCCCACCCTCCTTCTGCTACAGCTCCTGGCCAGGCTGGGCTCTCCTTTCCCCTCCCCTTCACCCCAGTTCTTGGCTGGGTCAGGCCCTAGTCCCCACCCTGCTCCCCCATCCCCTTCGGCTCTTGGCCAGGGCCTGCTCTCCTAGCCCGTAGCCGGGCTGGGGCCTGCTCCCTCTCCTGACCCTGCCTCTGCCCCACAGCACGTGGACATCCAGAACTTCTCCTCCAGCTGGAGCGACGGCATGGCCTTCTGCGCCCTCGTCCACAACTTCTTCCCCGAGGCCTTCGACTACACACAGCTGACGCCCCAGAACCGCCGCCGCAACTTTGAGGTGGCCTTCTCCTCGGCAGAGTACGTACCCCTCCCCACTGCACAATGCGGGCCGGGGCTGGGGCCCTTCCCGCTCCGCTGGCTCAGGAGCATGGCACTGCCCTGCTAAGGCTGGCGCAGGGAAGCAGCAAGTGCCCCTAGGGCTGCCTCTCCTGCGAGCTGAGCCGGCTCCCTGCTGCCCTGCCACGTGCTTGGGGCTCTCCGGCCGGCTCTGCTGTTCCCAGCATGCCGTGCGTGGCTGCTCTGGCCTGACCCTGGGCAAAGCGACGTCTGTGCAGGTGCACAGGAAGCCAACGCAGCCCAGTGCTCAGTGCAGAGATGTCGGGCCAAACCCCTCTCGCCCCGTAGCCCTCGGAGCCCTGAGCATCGCTGAGATGGCCCCGGAGCAGCCTTCGCAAGGGACTGAATGATTCCCCAGAGAGCTCCTTGCCCGTAACCGGCAGCCGCTGCCCCGCCACGCCACTGAACACCGACAGTGGCCGGCCTTCCCTGGCTAACCCTGGGCGCACGGAGCCCCTTCCCCTGCCACCGTCCCCCTCTTCTAACTGCTTGAATGCCGGAGGAGAACCTGCAGGCCGAGGCCCCTCAAGCTGCCTGGGGCTTGCCTGGCGACGAGTGGGGAGGGGATGGCAAGGCTGGCGGGGGCCCTGGTGCAGTGCAGCGCTGCAGCCCAGGCAGCTTGGGGCTGAGTCCCGCCCCGGGGGCTGGGCCGCTATTGCAGCTTCCTGAGCTCCCCCTTTTCGCTTCTGGTTTCCTGGGGTGCTGAGAAAAGGGAGCGGGTCCAGCTGGAGGCTGTGTGTCAGCCCCTCTCCTTCCTTCTGTCTCTCCATCCATCCATTCATCCACCTATCCCTCCTTCCCTCCAGCGGCTGGCTGCACCCTTGCGGAGCCAGAGGCAGTGTTTCCACAGGCTGGGGGTGTGTGGGGATGTGATCTCGGAGTTCCCTTGGCCTGTGCAGGCTGCCCTGCCGGGGATGACGTCTGGGGGCCAGGAGGCCCCAGATGGCACATGGGTGTCAGCTCCCCAGGCCCGCGCGCTCTTCTGTCTAGTCCGCACAGGGTACAGCGAGCGGTGGTGTGCGGGGTGCGTGTGCTTGGGACTTCCGCCTTCCTGTTAATTATGCCTTTTGCCTTAACGGGGACCGGTGCGTGGACCATGAGAGCAATCGATCCCTCCGGCCTGGAAGCCAGGTGGCCCTTCCCCTTCCTCCCCCTCCGGCCCTCGGTGAGCTTCTTGCACCGATTCCAAGCGGAGCCAGGCGAGGAGGGAGCCGGGCCTTCCCCTCTGCCACCCCATCTATATACGCAGCTATATAGAGAGCCGCTCCGCTCTGGAATCCGCTCCTCAACCACTGGTTGGCGCCAGAGCACTTCACTCCCTTCCTCTCCTCCTCCTCCTCCTCCTCTGTCTCGCTCTGTTCTTCCGCTCTGGATCTCCTCACGCTGGACCTCACACTCCCGCACCTCTGACTCCCCCTGGCTGTGCTCGTGTAGCCCCGATTCCTGTTAGTCTCACAGTGCCAGTAGTGCAGCGGTACCCGGGAATGCGCACCCTCCCCAGAGCATGTGTGAACTGGAGCGTTGTTATGGCCCCAGGGGAATGTGAATTGGATTGATACGTTTCTCTTGTTCTCTCTCTCTCTTCCCCCCCCCCCCCCACCCTCTCCCCGACTGGGCTGTGATCACTCGCTCCCCCTTTCCCCCCGCCCCCAGGAAGCACGCAGACTGTCCGCAGTTGCTCGACGTGGAGGACATGGTCCGGATGCGCGAGCCGGATTGGAAGTGTGTGTACACATACATTCAGGAGTTCTATCGCTGCCTGGTCCAGAAGGGGCTGGTAAAAACCAAAAAGTCGTAGCCTATTTACACCCCCGGGAGTGATGGTGAGAATCTTCCTCTCAATCTACCGCCCAGCCCCGGCTCGGAGGGGGCAGCGAGGGGCCTGGCTGCGCTGTGCTGAGTTGGGGGCTAGCGGGCAGGGCAGGGGTGAGCCGGGCAATGCCCAGGTGCAGCTGTGCAGTAGGTCAGGGGAGGGGGGTGAGTCCTGCCATCCATGGGGTGGGGGTCTGGGGGGCACACTCCTCTTCCCAGAGAGCAGGCCAGATGTCAGGGCGCCAAGGGGCAGAGCCCTGTTAGCCAGACTGACCTGAAACACTGCCCGAGTGTCAGCGTCTAGAATGGGGGCCGGTGAGGGGACCAGGTCATCGCCCCCCAGCACCGCACTCGGGCTGAGCCACAGCCTTGGCCCCCGCCAGGATGAGGGGCGCTCTGACGAGATTTCCCTCCCCAGCTCTCTGAGCCCGGGATATGGGGCACAGGTGGCCGTTCTGAACTGCTGCTTTAATTACACCTCCCCCTGTGCTGGAGCAGCCTGCTGCTGGATCGAGGGCTGGCAGCGCGACTCCTGCAGCCCTCCCCGCCCCATTGCTCGTGCTGGCAGGGCCAGGGGGCTAGTGAACGCCTGGGCCTGGTGCTTCCCCAGTCTGTGTCCCGCCAGAGCAGCCTTCTCGCCCCCAGCGCCCGCTCCCAGCCCTGTGCCGCAGGCCGGCGAGGCTGAGCCGGGGTTCAGGCGAGGTGAGCCAGCACTCCCACTGCAAGGTGCCTCCTCGTCATATATGGGCAGGCGACGGGAGCAGGGAGCCTGGAAAGTGTGACTCAGGCACGTCCATCACGCTGCTCTTGTTAGTGTTTGGGCCTGTCTGTCTGGGGGCATCTCTGCTGGAGCCTCCCCCGGCCCGCGGGCCCCGCGCACTGCAGGCTCAACTATGCCTTTATAAGGGCAGGGATTCTCCTGAGGCTGCCTGGAGCTTTTCCATCACGAACCCAGCCGGACCGGTGCCGCGGGGGGGGAGGGAGCCAGCTGCCTGGAGCTGCATTTCCAGAGGTGCTGGAACCAAGGGGAGCAGCAGCTGCTGGCCGGGGGCACCTGGGCTGCAAGCCCACCAGAGCCAGTAGGGCCCCCCAGGCTGGAGATGTCACTGCAGTGATTGCCCACTCTGCTGCAGTGCAGGACTCAGTACAGTGAAAGAACCATTCGGGGCCTAGGCCCGCAGCAGGATGGGTCGGCATCAGCCCAGCTGTATGGGAGGGGAGCTGCGGGGCAGAGGGCCTCTGGGGTAGTTAAGTGGGCAGGGCTGGGGGGGTCAGAAGCCCTTACCTCCCCCCCCGGCCCCGGTGCTCTGTGCTGAATGTCCTGAGCGGTGCTGGTGCTGCCAAGCAGACCCTGTGCCAGTCTTGGCTCTCACATCCCCTCTCCATGCCCACGCTGGTGGAAGCAAGCAGGCACTGTTGGGGGAGGGGTGCAGGGCAGTGCCTGCCCCATCTTGGCGCTTTCGGCCAAATGCCTGGACGCCGCTGGGCCAGCGAGCCCCTTTCACTCCCAGCGCCAGTGGTCCTGGCAGGGAGCGCCGAGCCTGGTGTGGCAGGGGGCTGGGTATTGCGTGTGCACCGAGCCCGAACCCCCCCTTCAGCGCGTACGGGGCTAGGCCAGGTGGGCAGATCCCTTGGTGCAGATCAGCAGGTGTTGGCGAGAGCGGGAGGCAGGGGTGGGAAGCTCCGCGTGCAGGGCTGTGGGGCAGCCAGCTCAGCACAGGTTCTCATGTGGGTACCCAGCTGGGTGCGGTGTTCCTGGCTGAGGGGGAGCCGGGCTGCTGCAGCTGGGCGCAGTAGTGAGCAGCAGCTCCCAGCTGTTCTGTCGCAGGTCAGCATCCGTTCACTTCATGTCCCAGCACTGCAGGCTCCGAGTCCGTCTCAACTGCCCACAACTGACTTACCGCCCCGCTGTGCCCAGGCGGCCTGGGCTGGGAGAATAACACCCTGCAAGGGGTGTACACTTGGTGGCAGCAGCAAACGGCTGGTGGCTGGAGCTCTGCCACGGCTCGCTGAGACACCTTGGGCAAGTGGTGCCTCGGTTTCCCCACCTGCAGAGGTGGGAGGATGCTGAAGGGGCTAATCAGTGGCGGGGCAGCACGTGGAGCTCCCTGGCTGGAAGGCTGCTGAGTGATCTCAGCCCTGCACCATGCAGGCCGAGGGTGGGCTGGGTGGGGGACTGAGACTCCTCCCTCTAAGGCACCATGGGGCTGAGCTTGGGGGAGGGCGCTGGTGCAGGGGAGAGGTACTCTGCTGCCAGCAGGAGGCACTCCCCTGCATCTGTGAGGGGAGTCAGGCACGGGGTCTCTGAGGCCCTGGGGGCAGGCCCCTCCCCCTGCCGGCCTCGCTGGGGGGGATTTCCTGCTCTGGGCTCTGCCCCGGGCCCGAGCAGCGCAGGGAAGGCCTGGCTCCTAGGAAATCAGCCACGCGCTGGTAGGAAGCCTGCGCCGGGCACCATGGCTGTGATCAGCTGGGCTTGGCCTCAGCCCTGGCCAGGGAGCTGGCTGGGCCAAGCACCATGCTGGTGGCATGGGCCAGGCTCTCCCAGCCTCCACGCAGTGCCATCGCTGCTCAGTGCCCAGACAGATGGGGGAGGGGGGGTCTTCTGCGTGATGGGGCTGTTTCCCAGTGAGTTGGGGGGTCCTGGGTGCTGGCTACACAGCAGCCTGCTGCTGTACCCGCAGCTGCCACCGCTGGGGGCTGTTCCTTCCTGCCGCCAGGCGTCTCCCCAGCCTGCTGCACCCGGTGCCCAGGCCTGTTCAGCAGAAGGGGCTGATGGCTGGGGGCAGAGGGATCCTTCGTCCCCCTCCAGCACTTCCACGCAGGGTTCTCTCAGCGCTTTACAGGCACGAGCCGCCTCAGCCCTGGGCCCTCGGTCTCACCCCAGCCCCCGCTGGGCCGGCCAGCCGCTCTGGGGGTCTGTGCCAGCACTGGGGAGGGGGACGCTGGCTCCAGGCTTGTGCTCACCCCACCAGCCCTTGCTCCCTCTGCAGTTGGGATGTCCCTGAATGCGCGGCTCTCCCCTGAGCGCGAGCTGGGCAAGGCCTGGCACTAGGTTACCAGCTCCACTCCTTCAGGCTCGTCCCTCTGCCCCTCCTGTGCTCCAGGCTGCTGCTCTCTGCTGGGGGGCTTGGCATCGCTGCAGAGCCCCAGTGCTCCATGATTTAGCCATCTGCCCCTTTACAATCCACTCCCCCCGGTCCAGTCCCAGGTAGCAGAGCCTGGCTGGCCAGCCTCCACCTCCCCTTTCCTGCACTGTTTGCAACAGCTGCCGTGGCCCTGGGGCTAGTGACAATGGCTCCCAGCAGAATCTGCCTCTGGGAGCCTGTGCTGGAGCTCTGGGCCAACAGGGTCCTGCTGGGCATGGAGTCTGGGCCATGCCCGGCCTGGCCTGCCCTCCACCCACTGCTACAATAACATCTGCCTCTGCTGCAGCTTCCCCTGCACCCTCTCCTGGGGAGGTGGGGGGCGTTATGTGCCCCTGGGGCAGGCGAGGGGCTGGTACAACACTAGCAATCCTGCTGCAGCGGTTAACCCATTCTTGTGCTGTGGCCCAGACCCTCAGCACTTCCTCCCTGGGGGCTGCACCCAGGGCTTCCATGATGCTGCTGAAGGTGGGTCTGGCAGGCACCCCATGGGCTCAGCCCTGAGCCTTTCACCACCTCCCCTGCAGAGCAGCCCTCCAGGGGAAGGAGGTGAGGTGCCCCCTACGAGGGGCGCAGCTTGGCTGGGTTCCAGGCCTGGCACCCTGGCCAGCGCCTGGTCGGCTCATCCGCTCTTTGCAGCGTTTGGCTGAGTGTAGCCTGGGGGATCATGTTTGGGTCGTAGCTGCGCTCCCGCTCCCTTTGCAGCCCCAGTTCTCTTTGCTCCAGGCACGGTTTCTGCCCCGGCTGCTCGCAGGGAGTTAATACACCATAACCTTGCCTCCCTCTGCTTTGGCCATGGTGCAGCACAGGAACTACAGCTCCCAGCATGCATTGCCTCCCCTGGTGCTGAGGGTGCTGAGCTGCAGGCTGGGACCTGTAGTCTCCATGGGCCTCACCTTGATTGGCTGCCCATGGGCCCTGGGCAGCTCTGCTGTAGCATTTCTCACCCTTGCCCCGTTGGCATGGGGTGTGCTGGCAGGGCCGTCCCTCCTGCTCTGGGAAGGACGGCACAGGAGCTGTTGGAGTGTGGAGCCCAGGCAGGCCTGGGGTGCGACCTGCAGCACCAGAACATTTACAGCAGCAGCCTGTGCCAGGAGCTGCTGTGTGCCAGGCCGGGTTGGCGCTGTCGTCCCTGGGGGAAGCCGCAAAACCAGGCTCCTGCTCCCTTCCACTCTGCGTCTGCCCTGGGGCTGGCTCGGGGAGCAGGGCTGGGTATTTCCCTTGGGGGGGTGAGCCAGAGCAGGTCGCAGCTGTGCTGCTTAGTGGAGTGTGCAGCGCGGCACGAGGGCCAAGGACTGAATGGGCTCTGGGGGCTGACCAGCCCTGGAGGGACCTGGCTGGGGGAGGTGTGGCAATGTAGGATGTGCCTCTTCCCATGCAGTGCCTATGTTGTCCCACAAACTTATACAGGATCGTTTTAGGGGTCAAGACAAAGATGCCACATTTATTATTATAACAATTTGATTTATGACCAATAACTAATATCTTAATCCTAATACACACACATTATACCTAATGCCTATAAACACACACACACACACACACACACATTCATCAGATGTTCTGCAGCTGCTGCATAGTTACCAGTCCTGCTTGAGTCTGTGGCTTGAGTTTGCAGCTTGGGTTCGTAGCTTGTGGCGGTAACTGGCCAGGAAAGCCGGGCACAAGGACGAGCTGGGTCTCTGTTGGGCATGCACTGATGCCCTTCCATGTTGGCAGCAGAATGTTACCCTCCTCCAAAGTTTTCCATCTCACCCATCCTTTTTGTAGGCTTTAGTTTGAATCCAGAGTCTATAGGTCTTGCTGTGTCACGCTGCCTCTGGGTTTGGTGATTGATCACCCGTCCATTGCAGACATGACTTTCAGCCTGGGACCGGGCTTTGATCTTCCTTCTATTGTACCTTTTCTTTTTAGGGTGGATTCTTCTTACTTTGTTAGGGCTCTTGTCTGCATCTTCAGCCCTTGGTGTTTGAACTCTATTTCATCAGGACAGGCTGGGGCTGGAGGTTGATTCCATCATCCATACATACCTCATTCACACATCTAAACTAAACGAATAAGATTACAGCAGGGTTTGCAAAAATGAAGGTTGCAGCAAGCCCTTACAAAATGGAGTAAGCGTTTTAAAATGGGGTTTGAATTACAATATGGCACAGAAGTTACAATGTAGGCAAAATGGCAAGTGTAATGAAATGGTGAACAGAAGTTACAATGGTACAGGATAACTAAAAACAATTTCATTCATGAGTCCTACACCTAGACTGCCCGTCTGCACCCACTCACTCCCCTAGCTTGTATCCCAGCCAGGCTTAAAATCCCCTGCTGTCAGGCCAGGGGCGAGCCTCAGCCCAGGGCTGATGGAGTCGCAGCCTCGGCCAGGGGAGCTGTAAGGAAATGGGGTTCTCGGGCCTGGGCGGGGAGGGGAGTCTGCCAAGGCTCAGGCACTGCGGACTGCCTGGCGCACAGCCCAGCGGGCAGCCAGTTTGCAGTCAGGAGTGTTAGGGAGCAGAGCGGCAGCCTCCTCAGCCAACGGGGGCCTGCCTGGGTTGCTCCAACGCCACCAGTTGATTGCCAGAGCTGGGGAAGTGTTGGGGCGGGCAAGCAGTGCCTGCTGCTGTTGGAGGCCTTGGGCTACCCTGGGCCTGACCCTGCGATCTGCCCAAGCCCTCGGCCTGCGGACATGAGGCTGGGAGTTGAGGGCATTAGCGGGATTAGGCCCTTTGCCCGGGGCACCAGCTGTGATGCCGGTGGGATGATTGTGCACATTGGAGGAGGGGCACTGTGAGGGGCTGGGCCTGTGGGGAAAGGAGCTCGCCCGATGGGCGAAGGGGACCTGGTGGCAGGGTTCTCAGCATGCCATTGGCTGCAGGGTGCAGGGGATGGGGGATTGAGGGAGCACAGGGAGGAGCTGTGGAGGAGGAGGCTCTTGTGGGGAGAGGGGGTGAGTCCCGTGGTGTGTGTGGTCAGGGGCTCATGCAAACGTCTGCCCTTATTCTGGGTGCCTGCTGCACCATGGCTGCAGGCTGCCCCGTTCCTGTCAGAGGGGCCAGGCAAGGGAGGAGGCTGCCATGGGACTCAAGGGGTGGGAGGCTTAGGACAGTGACAGGGGAGGAGTGACACTTCGGCTCCCCAGCTGGGCAGTGTGGGGGGCAGTCTCCTTTCTCTGGGCACATCCCAGGAACAGGTTAACACACAGGCTGAGGGCATGGCCCCTCTGGGCACCACAGGCTGGAGGCGAGTGGAGAGGCCAGGGGGATGTGGGATGGCCTGGGGCTCTGTGAGGGCAGCTGCATTCAAGTCAGGACCAAGGTTTAAAGGCAACGGGCACTAGCCCTGGCCCCACAGCTGAGCGGGAGTCCCCGGGAGCCAGGCAGCTGAGGCAAGCTGGCCTGGGGCCACCTCAAGCTCAGGGGGAGAGGGGCAGGGATGTGGGAGAGGGGGCAAGGCACGGAGGGCTGTGAGGAGAGAGAGCGGGATACGTGGCAGGTGCCAGCTGTGGGGGTGATGGGGCCAAGTGCCTGGCTGGCTGGTGAGAGCCCAGGGGCCGGGCAGGGGGTTGTGTGGGCAGGACCTAGGGAGAAGCTGCGCTGGTGGGCACCCCATCTGCCTGGGCGTGCGTTTGTCCGAGATGTTTAACTGAGGGGAGAGGCTGATGCACCAGGGTTACCTGTGCCAGCTGGGCCTAGCGGGCTGCTGGTTGTGGAGGGAGCCCTGGGTGGTGGGCTAGTGCCTCTGGGCAGGGGGCCATGCAGGATGTGAGCAAAGCCTGGTGCTTGGGGGCCGGGGCTGTGACCGGGGAGGGGCTGGGTGGGATTTCTGCGGGGGGGGGGTTGGGTGTGCGGTGGGATCTGAGCAGTGGGGGCCACGTGGACTCTTGGCAGGGCAGGGGCTGGCCTGCAGGAGGCAGTCGTGCCCGCGGCTCATTGCCCTCTATCCGCAGGATGCTGGTTGACTGCATGCCCCTGGTGGAGGTGGAAGACATGATGATCATGGGGAAGAGGCCAGACTCCAAGTGCGTCTTCACCTACGTGCAGTCCCTCTACAACCACCTGCGGCGCCATGAGTTACGCTTGCGGCAGAAAGAGTTCTAGAGCCCCCTCCCCGTCCTGCCCCCGCTGCCCTAGGCACGGCTGCAGCGTGAATAGACCCCCGCTGCCACCCTGCAGGGACCCAGGTGTGCAGAGGGGGGCTGCCTGCCCCCAGCAGACCTGCCCAGCCACCAGGCTACCCTGAGGGGCCTGGGTGAGGCCGAGAGACTGGCCCTGCACTGTCTGTGCTCTGCCCCCTCTGTCCATGCTACGAGCTCCCTCCAGCTGCTCCTCTGCCCCATGGCAAGCTGAGCCCCCATGGTCCCGGCCTGGTCCCCCTGGCAGCTTGGCTCTCACCCCCCTGCCCTGTGCTTTATATAGTATTGTTTTAAGTTATTCATGTTAAAGGAATTGTTTTTATGCTGTGCAATAACCCCCCCTGCCCCCAGGCTGGGAGAGCCCTGTGTATGTCTCAGGCTGGCTGTGGGGCCAAGGTCCTGCCCTCTGGCTGTGGCCCTGGGCGCCGCCTGGTGCTGTAGACACCTGGCCCAGGGGCTTGTCACTGGAGTTAGGTGGGCAGGTGAGGGAGCAGCCTGGGTCTCTGGATGCAGCACACGTGGGGGGTGGGGTTCTCTGCCCTCGCGGGGAGGTGCACTCCAGAAGGATGCTGCTCACGTTCCTGCTTGCAGCCCTCTCCCTTGGCAACTTCCACACTCAGCACTGTGCCCACCCCTGGGGGCAGTTCCCCCATTGGCACGCTGCTGCCTGCTGCTCACCCCCACCCCCAGGAGGCACCGCCATTGCTGGGACCCACAGCCCCTTTGCCCTGGGGAGCTGGACTGGAACCTGGTGAGGGGGTGGGCTCCTGGGGCACAGGCCCTTTCCAGGAGGGCAGCCCCCCGGGGCTTGGCTTGGTGCCTCCCACTTGATTCCCAGCCCTCCAACCTGACTCTGGGCCCTTTGCACTCAAGTGCCACTAGCCGATTGTGTAACCATTTCTACACCTGCATAGACACTTGTATCACCACCAGCCCGACAATAAAGTTCTGTTATACAGGGCCTGGCCTCTGCTCCTTGTGTGACAAACTGGGACTGTTCTTCATGTTTCCTCTGAATACTGTGTGGGTGCCTCAGTTTCCCCCGTGCATTTTGTAAGTCTCTAGGGGGTGAGATTGTTGCAGAGCAAAGGGCCAGTGTGCATAAATGACTGGCACTCTGTCTCCTGGCAACTAATGGCCGGGGCCCTTCACCCCTGCAAGGTGACAGCTAAAGGTGTTGGAGACCAAAGGAATCAGGTGACCTCCTGGCCCTTGGAAAGGAACAAAGCAGAAGAGGAGGGGCTGGAAGCGGAGTCAGTTTGGAACTGGCTGGGGAAATGGAGGGGAGCCCAGCTGGGGCTCAGGCTTCCCAACAGGGCTGTGGTGTCCCTGGGACCCCCAAGATGGACCTAACTGAGGGCGTCCTGTTGTCTGTACCTGCAAGACCTGTCTTGGGCTGTTCCAGTCATCTAAATAAACCTTCTGCTTTACTGGCTGGCTGAGAGTCCTGGTGAGTCGCAGGACGCTGGGGGTGCAGGGCCTTGTCTCCCCCACAGTCCGTGACACCTTGCCACCCCTGGGTGGGGTGGGCAGAGGGCTGCCTGCTGGCTATGGTAATGCAGTGGGGCCCTTTTCCCGCTGCCCTGGTTAGCACTGCTACCCTCCCATTGCCGGGGGTGGGGGGAGGCATGGGGCGTGCATACAATGTGCCTCCCTCTCCTTTAGGGGAAGGGCCCTGCATTCTCTCACCTGCAGCTCTGCCCAGTTCTGGCCTGGCCAGCTCCTTTCCCTGCCAGCAGGTGCTGTGGCCAGCTCCAGTCCCTCTGCCCTGCTCCCCTCTCCACCACCAGCTCGCCTGTGATGGTTGCGGCCCCCCAGCTGGTGGGTTCATGGAGCAGAGCTAGGCCCTACCCCCTATTTTCCACCCCCAACCCCGTGGCTAGGGCTGCAAAGTGGATCCCCGTGGGCTGAGAGCCTCCCGGAACAACCAGCAGGGCTGTAGCCTAGGGGCAGGAGGCAGATGGGTCTGTCCCCCTGCCCTATTGGTGTCCCTGTGCCAGGCTGCTGCTCCTGGCCCCAGGGAGCCAGGTTCCTGCAGGGGCCAGGTGTGAGGTATGGGGGGCTTCTGAAGCCAGGCTGCACTGTTTCTGGGGTGTCAATGCTAGGTGTATTCCTGGCTGAGCTGCACCCACATTCCCTCTGCTCTGGCTCCCAGGATCAGACACTCGTCCTCCCCCTCCCCGCTGGCTGCCACCCATGGCTGAGATCCCCAGCACAGGCTGGGCTGGGTTAAGCCCAGACCTCGTGTTTAGAAGGCAGGTGCTGCTCCAGCTCCCACCAAGGGAGCAGCTCCCAGTGCTGACGCAGCGGGGAGGGAGCGGAGCCGTGTGGTTAGCGAGGCCCCTGCACGGCTCCACCAACCCATTTCCTGGACCCAGGGCAGACCCCGACTCAGCCCCTGGCTCTTCTGCAGGGCCCAGCTCCTGCTCTGTCCATCAGCCAGGCCCAGGGGCCCAGGCCCAGGCCCAGCAAGGGGGTTTCCCTGCCCTGCAGCTGGGGAGCCAGCAGGGGGCAGCCCCTAAAAGCCCCAGGTCTGGTCTGAGCCCCGCGTTGGAGCCACCAGCTGCAGCCTGACTCCAGTGCTGGTTCCCCGCGTGCCCCCCCCAGAGCCCCTGTTGTGCTGACGGGGGGTGGGGGGGTGTTCGCTGTAGTCCCCTCCCCCACCCGCTGGGCCACAGCATGGCTCCGACTTGAGCCCAGCCTGCGAGGACCACCAGTCGCTCCCACCCCACACTGGCTCCAGCTGTGCAGGGCCAGCCAGCTGCATGGGGCAGGCCCTCCTAATGCACGCGTGGGGTAGGGCTCTGACAGACACCCCCCCCCCACCCCAAACCCCCCAGGAAGAAGATGACACACCGCAACAGGTGGGGTGAAGGGGCCTTTATTCCAGCTCTGGACACAAGCCCGTGGACCACAGCGCAGATGGCAGGGGGCAGCGACCCTGTGCCCTCTGGGACTCAGCTCATCCACCCTCAGCACCCAGAGCTTTCAGCTGAGGGCTTCATTCTGTCCCTGCAGGCAGGGGGCCCTGACAGCACAGAAGCACTAGCAGGCTGGTCCGGGTGCCAGGGGCCTGTTAACAGCCAGGGAAGGGCAGCTGACCCAGGGCTGGTATAGACCATACTGTGCCCTGAACAACGCCCGCTGGGGGGCAGAAGCTGTGTCACCCCTACCAGTGGGGTGGATGCACAGCTCCAGTCCGCACACCCCTCCCCATGCACACGTTTGGCTGCTCTCTATAGATCTGGGTGTTCCTGGTTGCCAGGCTTCCTGGGGGGCTCGCTCTTGGCTGCGGGAGCTGGGGGGGAGGGTGCTCCAGGGCTCTGCTCCTTCGCTTGCAGGGTGGGCAGAGGCCTGGCTGGGGCGAGCTGGAACTCCTCAGGCACCGGGGCATCAGGTGCCTCCTTGCGGTAAAATCCCAGCTCCTGCACCAGCTGGTTAATCTCCTCCCGGCTCATGTCACTCAGGGGAATTCTCTGCAAAAAAAACCAAACAAACCAGGGATTGCTGTGCCGGACATCCAGCAGCCCCGGCCCAGCACCGACTGGCCTGCTACTAGTCACAGCTGGGCCAGCAACTCAGCTCCCTCCCACAGCTAGGACCAGGGCTCCTGTCAGTCCAGCACCATGAGCGCCAGCCCCACTGGCTTTCACGGGATGACTGCAGAACGCATCCCCACAGCCAGAGCGCCCCCCCTGCTCCCCACAGTGCCCCCTGCTGGGAGAGGCTGGGACAAGAGGACCCAGGAGCACCCCTCTCCCCCCACCCAGCCAGCTCTTACCTCCAGCTCCTCGTATCGGAAGCTGAGCAGCACAAGCTCAGGGTCGGCTCCGGGGAGATGCTTCATCACCAGGTTGTGGCTGGAAGGTGCCCTTAAGGATCCTGGCAGTGATGGGGCAGGGCCCTGGCCTGGCATCAGCATCCACTGACCACGGCCTGGGGGACTCGGGGCCCCAGGCCTGGAAGTTGCAGGGTCCTCTGTGTCCCCTGGGCTGGGAAAGCAGGGCACGGGCCTCTTGCTGACGTGCGATCCACTGAGCAGCCCAGTAACCCCCAGGCTAGCTCCTGGGATGACACCGGCCCTAGCACAGTGTCTAGGGAAGCAGGGGGCTGGGGCTCTGGCCCCAGATGTGGTGGGAGGCAGTGTGGGGTTTAGCCTCCAGCAGGTGGCTGAGCATCTGCCTCTGGGGTGCAGCATCTCTGCTTCCCCTCCCCCCAGGCACAGGGACTTGATGCTATTTCTGAGGGTAAAGGGAGCTTGATCTCATAGCCCCCATCCCCCGCAGCCCTGGAGCCACCACCACATCCCACAGCGCTGGGCGGGTTAGTGGCAAATGGTCGTCGGGCTCCAGAGTGAATGGGAGCTCTTGGCCCAGGCTGTCTGCAGACTCAGGCAGGCGCCACAGACCCACTGACACGCACAGGGGTTCACAGCCTTGCAGGCTGGAAATGTGAGCTTGGATCTTGGAGCCAAGTCCCGGGGTTGCCAGCCCCCTCCCCATCCACAGCCCGGCCCAGCAAAGGATACTACAGAGGGATGTCCTCGGTGACAAAGGCCTTCACCTGGAAGGGAGCAGAGATGAGCGCCGCCCCCGAGACGCCCCAAAACGGCCAGGAGGGCTCCCCCCCACCGCAGAACCTCCAGGGAAAGCAGGAGGCTGCATGAGAGCTGTGCACCTGCCCATCCTGCCAGAGCTGCCCTGGCAGAGGGGTTTGGCAAAGCACTGTGAGAGCCTGGCCCCGGCACAAGCAGCGCCTGGGGGAGGAAGGACCCCAGGAGGCCAAGGGGGTGCCCCAGTCCCCTATATGGCAGCCCAGTGGAGGGGGTGGGGCTCCCAGGGAACGGCAGCACTCACCTCCTTCAGGCGGCTCAGCCATCATCCTCCGCAGGTCTGCGGGAAAGGGAGCGCATGGGGAGTGAGAGCTGCCCCCAGCCCCCCCAACCCCATTGCAATCTCCCCACTATCCCCCCTGCAATTCCACCAGCAACCCCACCCCATCGCCCTGCAGCCCCACCTGTAACCCACTTCCACAGCCCCACATGCCCCTTGCCCCCTGCAATCCCACTTAATCTGGCTTTGCACCCCCTCCATCTCCACCCCTCTGACACCCCCACCACCCCTCTGTAGGGCACCTCTCCAAATCCCAGAGCCCCATCCTGCCCTCTGCTCCATCCCACTGACCCCACCCAGACCCAGCTGGTCCTTCTATGGCCCCCATCAGCAGGGTGTCTGAGCTCCTCCCAGTCTGTAATGGGTTGGGGCTGTGCAGGGCTTGCACCCCCAGGCCAGAAAGGCAGTGAGTTGCCAGGGTCCCACAAGGAGCCTGTGGCAGAGCAGGGGCCCCCAAGTTCTCGGCCACAGCCATGGGGCCACCCTTCCTCTCCTCCCCTGGGCAGGGTGGGCTGCTCCTAGCTGGACGCGGCCCCTCCCCGCCTGCCCCTGCCCCACACTGGGCTCCTCCATGTCTCCAGGGCCAGGTCACCAGGAGAAGCAGAATGCCTGGTTGCCATGGTAATGAAGCAAGCATCAGGTTGTCCTAGTAACAGGTCATGTTAATGGTTTCCAGGGGAACTCATCGGGAGGCTCCACCCCTCCCCCAACCAGAGTTTGGGGGTTCATCCCCACTAGGGCTGTGCCTCTCCCCACCTTCCACTGGTGTGTGGTCACCACCCAGCTGTCCCATAGCACTGCCCCCTGGCCCCAGGTCATCTGCCCCCCATTCCAGCACGCTGGCCCTTCCCCAGCTTCCCTGCGACCCGGGGACCCCTCCCTGGGACGGGGGGGGGGGTGGATGCCGGTGGCCACTTGCCCCTGGTTAATCGCTGGGTGGAGGTGGGACCCAGGTGGTAGCTCGTCTCCCACGTAGTCTGGGGCGCTCAGATCGCAGTTCTGGTTCCAGCCCAGGTCTCCCCAGAAGGATTTGGGGTACCTCGCCCAGGGGGTTCGGCAGACCCCCGCGGCAAGGTGGCAGGGGTACCCCAAGGCGCGGCAGAGGAG